AGCTGCTCCCATGGGTTCCTTCCTGCCCCTTGCCCCCACCTCAGGGGGTTGGCAAATGAACTTCCATTGGGGCCTGGTTCTCCGGGGCAACCTGGGAATACGGTCTCTGCCCCGCGCTGGGTGGCAGGCGCTTCCCCACCTCAGCCCCCCAGAGACCTGGCTGCCCTTACTGCCACACGTGTCACAATAGGATGAGGCCACCAGCCTGCTGCTGCATTCCCCCTCCCCCATTACCAGTGGCCCAGCGTGTAACCCTGTGGGTATTACTGTCATCCCTGGAATTGAGTGTTCCCACCATCTTACTGAGGTGCGACTGTGCTGGGGGGCAGGAAGTAGGGGGGTTCCAAAGAGAATCCTGAAATAGAATCCTCGAACTGGAAGGGACCTCGAGAGGTCATCGAGTCCAGTCCCCTGCCCTCATGGCAGGACCCAGTACTGACTAGACCCGTGGTCCCCAACACGGTGCCCGCGGGGGCATTTATATGCGCCCGCCAAGTGCTTGGGGCTGGCCTGGCCCCGGGCACATGGCGCACGGTGAGCGCCGGCCCGGGGAGCGCCGCTGATTGGCTGCCTGCCCTCTGGGACAGTTTTTAACACTGCACCTCAAAGCCTGATACCTAGATGGTTCTCAGGAATAGAGCTACAGTGCTCAACTCAGGTACAACATCCTTTTGCACAGTAGAGCTCCCTCAACTCAGAAGGTATACATGGACAAATGGTCTTGCTTCGTTCACTGGGCTACTCCCAGCAATATAGGAGCTGGATTGCTTATTGCACCTCAAATAGTTGCATCTCTCTATGAGCTCAATTAAGTTACATTTGGCAGCTATCACAACTTTCCATATGAGGATTGATGATACTACAGTCTTTGCATACCCAAAATGATTCCTGAAAGGACTATGAGCGCCCCCTGGCGCCCGGCAGGCGAACGGCCACGCCCCCCGGCGCCCGGCAACCTCCCATGGTTGGGGACCACTGGACTAGACCATCCCTGATAGACATTTATCTAATCTGATCTTAAATATTTCCAGAGATGGAGATTCCACAACCTCCCTGGGCAATTTATTCCAGTGTTTAACCACCCTGACAGGAAGTTTTTCCTAATGTCCAACCTAAACCCCCCTTGCTGCAATTTAAGCCCCTTGCTTCTTGCCCTGTCCTCAGAGGCCAAAGAGAACAATTTTTCTCCCTCCTCGTAACACTGTTTTAGGTACTTGAAAACTGCTATCATGTCCCTCTCAGTCTTCTCTTTTAGCTTGTGGTCCACTCTGACCCCTAGATCCCTTTCTGCCATGCTCCTTCCTAAACAGTCGCTTCCCATTCTGTATGTGTGAAACGGATTGTTCCTTCCTAAGTGGAGCGCTTTGCATTTGTCCTTATTGAATTTCATCCTATTGACCTCAGACCTTTTCTCCAGTTTGTCCAGACCATGTCGAATTAGGACCCTCTCCTCCAAAGCAACTGCCACCCCTCCCAGCTTGGTATCATCTGCAAACTTAATAATCATACTCTCTATGTCATCATCAAAATGACTGATGAAGATATTGAACCGAACCGGTCCCAGAACAGACCCCTGCGGAACCTCACTTGTTATGCCCTTCCAGCATGATTGTGAACCATTAATAACTATTCTCTGAGAATGGTTATCAGCCCAGTTAGGCACCCACCTTATAGTAGCCGCATCTAGGTTGCATTTCCCTAATTTACTGATAAGAAGATCATGAGAGATCAGGTCAAATGCCTTCCTAAAGTCTAGGTATACCACGGGTATGGACGATGGAGAGGATGGAGAGAGGGTGGTCTCAGTGGTGGCAGATGGCAGAATGAGGAGCAATGGGCTCAAGTTGCAATGGGGAAGGTCTAGGTTGGATGTTAGGAAAAACTATATCCCTAGGAGGGTGGGGAAGCGCTGGGATGGGTTCCCTAGGGACGGTGGTGGAATCTCCATCCCTAGAGGTGTTTAAGTCTCATCTTGACAAAGTCCTGGCTGGGTTGATTTAGTTGGGGTTGGTCCTGCTTTGGGCAGTGGGTTGGACTTGATGACCTCCTGAGGTCTCTTCCAGCTCTACGATTCCACGAGCTGGGAAACCGTGGCTTATCAAGGGAAACATAACAGAAAGAGGAGAGCTAGGATCAAATATAGGCTCGGCCAACTTCGAGGGTGTTATTTTTATAATTTCGACCAACAATATCGGTTTATTGCTAATAAATATATTTTTTAGATTTGCCGCCATTTAAATGTCACCCTTGTGTGAAATTAGGAGGGGGAGCCTATTTTCCCCATTTTTTCCCCATTTCAATTTTCACAGCTGCGGAAAATTATGGGTGTTGGAGGGGGGGTAGACAATTCTTTAATGACAGTCGATGCCGGGGATCCAAAAATTAAAATCTGTAACACAAATGCTCAGCGTCGCATGTCAAAATACACAAAGTAAATATTCTGAAGTCAACAGATTGTGCCTGCTGTTCCAATTCATTCACAGGTCCGTTGGTAACCAGCCTCATTCAAAAGTCTACATTGACTGGATTTGGACACTAATCCATTCTCAAGCAGCGTTTTTCTTACTGTGATCTAACTATACATTTGATTTATTACCAGGAGAAATATTTTGTGTGGTTGGTTTGTGGGTGTGCAGGGGAATCAACGTTTACCGATCAAAAATTGATCCTTTCAGGCCTTACTATTTATATTAGTACAGCCAAGTGCCTGGCTGTCAGGATATAAAGCCAGACACTTGTACCTAGCTCTCGCATGATGCTTTCCAGCCCTTGCCCTCAATGTGATTGACAGAAGAAGGCAGTACCATTGTACCCATTTTATATATGAGGAAACTGAGGCACACAAGAGCGACATGGCATGCCCACTGCCCTCCAGCATCAGAACCAGGCCAAGAACCCCAGTCTGAATGCTAGGGTTGTGCTTTATTCACTAGGCAACATTCCTTCTACAAACCCTAACCCTAAACCCTAACCCTAGTACAGGCAAGTGCTTGGCTGTCAGGATATAAAGCCAGACACTTGTACCTAGCTCTCGCATGATGCTTTCCAGCCCTTGCCCTCAATGTGATTGACAGAAGAAGGCAGTACCATTGTACCCATTTTATATATGAGGAAACTGAGGCACACAAGAGCGACATGGCATGCCCACTGCCCTCCAGCATCAGAACCAGGCCAAGAACCCCAGTCTGAATGCTAGGGTTGTGCTTTATTCACTAGGCAACATTCCTTCTACAAACCCTAACCCTAAACCCTAACCCTAACCCTCACATACTGCAAGTGATTACAGCAGACTGGGCGCAGTGAGTGGCTATTTTGGGTGCCTCTTTGGGCCACTCCCAGCTGTATATGAGCACCTAGCTTATAGGGGAAAGGACAGAGATTCAAAATGATCTGGACAACCTGGAGAAATGGTCTAAGGCATACGTGTGGTGCCATCCCCGGGCGCAGGGCGGGTGAGCGGCCCCTGTTCCGGGCGCATGGCACATGCGCGGTGTCAGCCAGGCACGTGGCGCAAGTGTGGTGCCACCCCCGGAAGTGCAGCACGTGAGCGGCTCTGCCCCCGGACACCCGGCAGCCACGAAAGGTTGGGGACCACTGGTCTAAGGTAAACAGGATGAAGTTTAATAAGGACAAATGCAAAGTGCTCCACTTAGGAAGGAACAATCCGTGTCCCACGTACAGAATGGGAAGCGACTGTCTAGGAAAGAATCCCGCAGAAAGGGATCTAGGGGTCATAGTGGACCACAAGCTAAATAGGAGTCAACAGTGTGACGCTGTTGCAAAAAAAGCAAATATGATTCTGGGATGTGAGTAAGGAGTGTTGTGAGTAAGACACAAGAAGTCATTCTTCTGCTCTGCTCTGCGCTGATTAGGCCTCAGTTGAAGTATTGTGTCCAGTTCTGGGAACTACATTTCAAGAAAGATGTGGAGAAATTGGAGAAGGTCCAGAGAAGAGCAACAAGAATGCTTAGAGGTCTAGAGAACATGAGCTATGAAGGAAGACTGAAAGAACTGGGCTTGTTTAATTTGAAAAGGAGAGGATTGAGGGGATGTGATAGCAGTTTTCGGGTATCTAAAAGGGTGTCACAAGAAAGAGGGAGAAAAATTGTTCTCAGTGGACAAGAATCAATGGGCTTAAACTGCAGCAAGGGAGATTTAGGTTGGACATTAGGAAAAACTTCCTATCTGTCAGGGTGGTTAAGCACTGGAATAAGTTGCCTAGGGAGGTTGTGGAATCTCCATCTCAGGAGATATTTAAGAGCAGGTTGGACAGACATCTATCAGGGATGGTCTAGACAGCACTTAGTCCTGCCGTGAGGGCAGGGGACCAGACTCAATGACCTCTCAAGGTCCCTTCCAGTTCTAGTGTTCTATGATTCTAGATCAAAGGGGGTATTTCAGTCAGAGAAAACAGAGGCTACCCCACAGCGTGGCAAGTGAAACGGATAGTTTTGTGCCACCATACACAGGACCGGGACAAGCTGGGTTCTAGTCCTAGCTGGGCAAATCCCTTCCCTGCTCCCTGCCTCAGTTTCCCCATCTGCCCAGTGGGGATAAAGATACTGACCCTCCTTTGTGAAACACTGCAGGATTTGCCCGTGAAAAGTCGTCTTCTGCGGTTGCTCATTTGGAGCCAGGTGAAGGGGCGGGGGGCTTACAGACTTTCCCTCACCCCCAAATAAATTTCACTAGAACCCTTCCCAGGGCTAATGATACCCAGGATTTTATTGCAAGACCCGCACTGTTTGGCATTTAAATCCTGAGCTCCTGGAGTCTGGTGATTACGGGAAAATCATTTGACCCCTCCCCTGCCATAAGGCTATTTCCT